TATATATAATAGTATTTTAAATTTGATATATCTTATGACCATTTACTGAGTATTCTAATTCTTTTTATTATCATATTGCTTTACAAGTAAAGCATATGATTGAACAGCTTATCAAATACTCCCTTATTTTGGATATAGACTTTACCATTATGTCCTCGTTAGATGATTTAGACGTTACGATGTCAATTTCATCTAGAAATGTCATCTACCAAATTTATGTGGAGTAATAAATTATAATGTTATTAGAATCATGCTTTGAGTGTGTTGTATATTCACATCATGTTCAATCCAATCATTTCATATAATCGAAAGTGATATGTGAATGGGGTCATGACAAAACGCATCAAGCATGTATTAAATAATGAAAAGGAGTAGATGACTCGTGGAAAGATACATTTGACCTTATTAAAAGCCAAAATCATTGAACATGACCTAAATATTATAACCAAATTTGATCAGCTAGATTTCTCACAAAAAAATTAAAATGGAGAGGGACGGTGGTGATGATCAAGGTTCGGAGAGAGAGACAAAGTGGGCAGTTCTTTGGGCAGGTTATTAAGTAGTTAGTGCCTCTTACTGTCTAGCTAATCGATCGTTCCCTGAAATGAGGTTTAATGTAGTTACTGAGGATGATACTTAAAGGTGTTGGCAGGTATTTTGCATAGCTTGTTCAAGGTTCGAAGCGATGATAGATTTTAATATTTTATGCGACAGCGGTGTGATTCAGTATCCATTTCTCCTCTTATTGGAACTATTTTGCAGCTTCCAGATTTCTGGCATCCTGTAATCACAAAACAATCATTTCCCTTCGTCCATAGGTCTCACGGAAAAAGATGAGAAGTTTTAGTCAAAAAGGAGAATTAAAATCCAATCAAAAACCATTTTATGGAGAAAATTAGAAGTTGGGCTCACAATACAGAGCCCCTCTAGGAAGTCATGTAATGATTTATCATTTTAATTTTTGTCTGAATCAATAAGAAACTTATGTATATGCAAGAAACCAATAAGCCAAACATTAATACAAGAGATTGAAGTTAATGTACCTCCAGCATCTCATCTGGATCATCATTGTACAGCATGTGAATGAGGCGAGCGACAGAATTTTGCTCCTCCTTGAAATCTTCTTCATCAAGCTGCATGCAGAAGAAGATGAGAAATTAGTAAGCCTTTAAGATAAATTGAACACCAAGTATTACCTAAAGCTGTGAAGAGATGAAGCCTGAAAGGTAAAGATTGCAATTCATAAGGATTTCTGGAAGAAACTTATTAATTAGCAAGGTTGAGACATGAAAGTTTAACCTCATCGTCTTGAGTTCCATCCATATCCTTGATAAGCCCTTTTATTAACTCAAATAATGCCTCAACCTAGAAAAGATAACTACTTTCAGTTAGAATTAATTATTGAAATACATGTTATGTGGTTAAAACTACCTTCTCTGCAGTAGATATGTAGGTATTGTTCTTCATGATGCTTTGAATAATAACCACTGCCATGACTTTCTTTGTGCCATTATCAAGGTGGTCCATGATTCTGGGATAGTTAGTGAGCTTTAATGCTGTATCTATATCGTTGTATTTTTCCACTGGAGCACTTAAAAGGGCAACGATTTGTTTAGTTGCCCTGTTATCCTCAATTTTTGGTTTGCCCGACAGTTTCTTAACACATGCTCCCTAATGATAGATAATAAAAGAGAATTAAATCAATATAGAACCTCAAGTAAAAAAAATGCTGAAATTACAAGAAAAGAAAAGAAAAAACAAAGATCATGAGAAGTGAAATGTGATCAAAATAAGTTGCATGGACTTAAATGCACAGAGCAGTAAATTGGACGACATTCACTAAAAAATGGGATAAATTTTCCTAATATTTTTAAAAGGTTAATAACCTATACATACATAGAGCAGAACCCTCTAATTGAAATTTAACAAATACTCCCTTTTGTAAAATTTAAAGGCATTAAAATCAATGTAAGTACAACCTATGTAAATATATATTAAGGGAACCGGACTTACCAGTACTTGATCCACATAATCAAGACGATCTGGATGTACACGAAGAGTAAATGTAAGAAGTGAGACATATAATGTTATGGCACCAAAAATAGGCATCTCAGGCTGAGAATCAATGACCTGAAGATCAAAAGAAAGTACAACAAAGATCATTACATAAATGATTGACAGAAGAAAACAAACACAAAAAAAACTTAACATCTTAAAATATCTAAAATCCTATCATTCATGTACCAAGTTTCAGTGTATCAAAAGTATTCACATAACAGCCAGGAACATCTAATCAGGTTAGAGTTTTAATAAGAGTGTCAGCTTCCTATAGTTGCGGCCATTTTTGACTGATACGCAATAATTTTAGCTAGTTTAGCTTATATGTCAAAAAATTAAAAAAATTAAAAAGCTGAATAAGGCACAAGATATTTTCTTCCTATATGACAATTCATATTTGTCTTACAGTAGTAATAGAGTTCTACTTCGTTTCAATGTCATCAATTTTAAGTTTGAAATAAATGGGCAATATCAAGTTACTCATAAAACTGATGAAATTTCAGTTTTGTTAGGTGGTGTTAGGTCAGGTTCAAACAGTAATTTTACTCGTCTTAGTTATCTCAGGTATGGGTAACAAATTGCCATCCATTAGATATTCCATCCCTCGACCATCCTCCCCCTTTTCAATATATTTAATATTCATCCAGCAACAAATCCAAAACTTCCACTGAAGCATTCCCTTTGCCTCCATCCATCTGACTCAATTCCCAAAACCTTCATCCTCCACCAAATCTCAATCGGTTCATTCAAACATTTCCATGAACTAGAAGTGCAAATAGTAGGACTCCTGTAGTAACAGCTTTGCTTTTCAAAAAGTTAACATTATCTCAAATTTGATTTGGCAAAAAACGTGAAATAGAAAGCCACATACTTCAATTGAAATTTTCCACGACTTGATGGTTCATACTTAACAATAGAAAACATAGTGTAACACGGCACGAATATCTAGTCAAATCATAGTGCATAGCATGTTATTTTAAAAACAGTATGAAATATTAAAATTCAAGAATAATTTATTATTAACTAAATAATATAAAAATATATTTTAACATAAAAAAGGTAATATGATGTCATATATAAATAATATTATTTCGATGTATTAAATTTATGCATCAAGGCCCATAAATATTTTAGAATTATTATATATTTCACAATAACATTTTAGGAATTCATGATATTGTAAAAGTCAAGTAAAGGCCAATGAAATGTGAGAATAGAGAGGTGAAACAAGAAGGAAAAAAATTACAATCAACCTTAAATGGACATGATTAAGTATCAACTCCTGACATGAATGAAGTAACTGAAATAGTATGAATTTATATCTATCGTCTTTGACCCACAAAATCATCTTGAGAAGTTCTCCTTGATTCAAACCCTTAATTCGTATATTTAATTATTCAGCTATACTAGAAAATGGCTGGCATAGAACAAAATGTTAAATCGAGGAGCAAATGTATAGATATTAGAACTTTTGAACAATCATAACTAACAAAAATATGGGCATAGTATCCATTAATTCTTGAAAAATAATTTTATAATATTTAATTATATTTTTTTTAAGTGCCTCTGTTATAAGTTATATTAGAAAATAATTTATTCTTGTGAGAAGTTATGAGTAATAAATTATTTTTGTAGATTAGGAGTTATTTTCTTTCCTTTTTTATAATTATTTCCTTGTATGGGAATTATTTCATTTCTTATTTTATGTTGTTTTTTTATCTCCAAAATAATTAATATGAAAAGATTAATAGAAGATATTAGGAGTAATATCTTTCCTTTCATATTATTTACTTTCTATTATCTTCTTATTCTAGAATTCATGTACGGTTTATTCATAACCCCTTTCATATCAATGAAATTTTCTCTTTATTTCGTATTATTATGAATTTCAACATGATATCGGAGCTTATTTTCATACCCTAGCTACCAGTCCTCCTTCCAGATCCGCAGGACTCCTATCTGTCATCCTCCGTGCGGGAAGGGAAGGGCACTTGTCTTGATATTTGAAACAATGATTTTTACTTCTTCACCTTCTCTGCCCTTGTCAACCCTAAAAGGAGGCATCATCGCCGATCGCGCTGCATGTGGCATCATGATGTCCATCGTCTCCATCCTGATGCGGGTTTTCAAAACTGAACCTCCTCTCTCTCTCCCTCTCTCTCTCTCTCTCTCTCTCTCTCTCTCTCTCTCTCTCTCTCTCTCTCTCTCTCTCTCTCTCTCTCCAGTGATGGCTATTAGCGGCGGCGAAGATGATCGTCTTATTGTGAGTTTCGGCGAGATGCTGATCGATTTCGTCCTGACAATAGCAGGCATATCGCTCGCTGACGCGTTGGGGGTTCATAAAGGCCTCTTTCATGGGGAAGCTCGGCGATGACGAGTACAGCCGCATGCTCACTGCGATCCTCCGTGAGAACGATGTCTCTGATGAAGGCGTTACTTTTGATGTCTGTGCACACACTGCGCTAGCATGTGTCAACCTCCACTCCGATGGCAAGTGCGAGTTTATGTTATATTATAACTCTCGGGCTGATGTGCTTTTTATGCCAGCTGAGCTCAATCTCGTCCTTATATGTTGAGCGAAAGTCTTCCATTACGAATCTATAAGTTTGATCACAGAGTCATGTAGGTCAACTCATTTAAAGGCTTACCAAGGAATCAGGAATGTTGCTCTCTTATAACCCAAACCTTCGGTTTTCATTGTGTCCTTCTGCATCAAAGGCAAAGAAACAAGTTTTGAGCACTGGGGTCAAGCTGATGTCATTAAAGTTAGTGACATTGAGCTTGAATTTTTAACTGGTAAAGATTCAGTGGAAGATGAAGTGGCTTTGTTGTTGTGGCGCCTACCTTGAAGCTTCTACCGGTCACCCTTGGTGAGAAGGGTTGCAAGTATTACACTAAGGATTTCCGAGGAGCTGGTATGTTTTTGCTAGTTATGGTGCAAATGCAGGGTAAAGAGGAATTGTTTCTAGATACACAAGTCAGCTCACAGTGTTCCAGTCGGAAGTATCCTATTTGCGGAACTCCGCCCGCAGTAGACCCTCCTCCGGAGCTTTTCCTGCAGCAAGTCTTCAACTGAAACTCTTCTTGCAGCAAGTTGTCCTCTAGAATCTTTTCCTGAATCAGGCCCTTCTCCGGATCTTTATTCTGTCACAGACCCTTCACTAGAGTTTTTTTGGAGCAGGCCCTTCTCCAAAATCTTTCCTGCTGCGGACCTTCCTCTAGAGCTCTCCGTACAGCAACCCTCCTTTGAAACTTTTTCCTGCATCATGCCGTCCTCCAAAGTTTTTTTCTGTATCAAGCCCTCCTTCGGAACTTTTCCTGCAGCAGGTCCTCCACCGAAACTCTTTGTGCGCAGCCCTCTTCCGGGGCCATTTCTTGCATCAAGCCCTCCTCCAGAACTTTTTCCTATGTCAAGTCATCCTCCATAACTTTTTTCTATATCAGGCCCTCCTCCGAAGATTTCACTGCAGCAAGCCCTCCACCTGAATTTTTTTTACAGTATATCCTCCTTCAAAGCTTTTTCCTGCAGCGAGGCCTACCTCCTAAGTTTTTTCTGCAGGCTATACCCTACAGTTTTTTTTTCTATTGGTTGTCTATTTCCCTGCAAACTACACTGCATTACCTATAAAAGTCTTTTGTCTACCTACAAACACTGCAAGAACTGCAGTCAAAGACAATCATAATTGTCAACTTCCCTGCAAATTCCCCTGCAACATTACTTGTAGGAATTTTTTGTCTACCTGCAGACACTACAGAAACTGCAGCTGCAGTTGTCTACTTCCCTGCAAACTCTCCTGCAGCAATATCTGTAGGAGTCTTTCGCCTACCTATAGAGACTACAGGAACTGCAGGCAAAGGCAACAACAGTACGAAAAGAAAACTTCAAGTTCTATCTCTCAGGATTTTCTCACCCATTGATATTTTAAATTCAAGTTGAACTTGGTTTTCAACCATGTTTCAACTTGAGGGAGTAGTAGAATTTATATTAGGAAATAATTAATTCTTGTGAGAGGTTATGATGAATTATTTCCTTAGATTAGGAGTTATTTTCTTTCCTGTTTTATATTTATTTCTTTAGATTGGATTTATTTCATGTCCTATTTCAGGCTTTCCTATTTTATGTTGTTTCATTTATCTCCAAAATAATTAATATGAATTGATTGATTGAACATGTTAGAGTTATATCTTTTCTTTCATATTTTTTACTTTTTATTGAATTTCCTATTCTAAGATTCATGTAAAGGTTATTTATAACCAATTTCATATCAATGAAATTTTCACTTTCTTCCGCGTTATTCTGAATTTCAACAGCTTCTTAGGTTTGCATACAACAGAACATATGATAAAATACGACCGTAGAAAGAGACATAATTTTAGGGGAATTTACATACATGCCGCACAATTCTTATGTATCTACAAATCTAACACCTAAACTTTCATATTTATATGCATAACACTCAAAATTTTAATATCACATCAAAAATATCACCATTAATATTTTTTAAAATGTGAAATATATATTTTCATGCATAGGTTTATGACACCAAAGTGCTATAAGTGTATATATCAAACAATAAGAGTTAGATATGTAAATACATATGAATTGTGTGGTATGTAAATTTCCTAAAATAAGAGAACAGTTCTGAGAGATTAATAATTGTTTAAATAACTAAGAACGGACGCACAGAGAAGATGACTAGTGTACAAGCAAACTATTCTGTAGAAAAGTTCATTTTCCCTTTCCTGATAAAAAAAGGGAAAAAAAAGGAGAAACATTCAACTTAAGGATAATAAAGTATAGTCTTCTCATCCAAAAATAACAAACATAAATGAAGAGAGCCAATCAAAGCATTATTTGGTAGTTTAGCATATGACACTTGAGAATTGTAGGGTAAAATGCTACATGTTAAAGGGTAAAAAGTTTCTTAATTCCTACAAATATGTCATGTTATTTCAATAAGATGATAGAACATATAGATTTGCAAGAGAGTCTAGACTACCACTGAAAACATTATCATTATGCTATGCCTAACCACCAGCAAAGCTTTATTATTCATCCAAGCTTTATAAAAACCAATAAACCAGAAGTTTTAAATAATAATAGTAATAATATACCCATGTCACTTACACCATACGTCAGAGCATATAATGAACACTATTTTGCTTAGGTGCTTCTTGCAATGCAAAAAATTCAGGTGTGCTACACTATACTATAAAATACCCGCTATATTGTTCAAAATTATTTACCTTTCCAATGGCGTTGCTCAATTTAGCAAAAGCTTCTACTTGAAGAAATTCTGGTAAAATCTGCACAACTTACGCATGAGAAACCATGATTACAGGCATAAAGTCAAGAAGAGAGTGCATTAGAATCTCACTTCGGTGCTAGAGGTAGCATAATTTGACAATCTATCCATAAGCTGAGATAAGACTGTCATGATGTCCACAGTCGGCTGAGAAGATAAGACAGATGAATCAAGCTTAGAAGAGCATAAATAAAATTTAAAAAAAAGGGACAGGAAATAACTGCCTGAAAAGTTCAATATAAATAAAAAAGCGTAGTGAAATACAGAGGTGGTAAAACTTGACAAAATGAGATACATAAATGAGTACAATTCATAAATAGGATACAATATAGAATAAAAAAAAAATTAATGCAGATTGGACTATGTCAAAATAAAAAAAAAAAGATTAGACTAATAAGCTTGATCTGGTTCCTACCCGAGCTCAAGACTGGATACATGAGTAGATGTTTCATGATGAATTTAGGATTGAGAATAATAATGAAATTGAGGATTTAATGGATGAGGACTTGCCTTGTCAGTACAAAGAGATTTTTTTCAGATATAGACCCACCCTCTAAACTCCATATCACGGGTAAATCATTGCTCAAAATCCACACTCTGACCTAATAAATGAGAATTTTACTTGAAGATTAAAAATTAAACTAAAGTAGTTCCTTTTGTTTTACTTTGATTGAGCTTGGATTAATTCATCAACCCAAGCTTGGCTCGGATTAACATTAGAATGAACATTCAAAGTTTGCTTCATACCAAGATAAGACCTATCCTGCCTAGATCTAGTATTGATTCTCAAGCCACTATCAGACCGCCTAGTTTTGGAGTATAACAAAATAAATGGAAGGAAATGACAAAATGTCATGATTTACCACGTTGCATTCAAGTGAAGAAAAAAAATACTTAAAATGAAATTGATAACCCATTTCGCATTAGGGTTGCATAGAAAATAAGATCAATGAAATTGAAAAATAAAAGAGGACATGAAGGGCGGACCCAAAAAAAAAACAATTTAATGAGTTGTGAAAGGCAACACATAAGACAAAAACAATGCCAAGCAATAATGACTTTTTAATTAATTAAAAGCTGTATTAAACTAGTTGTAACACAACAAACAGCGTCTTAAAAGAACAGCAGATGGGCTAACTTTGCTTTCACAACAGGCCAACAATTAATTCAAGAACCTTGAATATTAACCTTGAAATTAAAGGCTAATTTAGTTTAATTTTCAAAAGTAAAAAAAAAAATCCCTAGTCATGATCGATTTAAATTCAAGCAACCAAAGAGCCATGCCTCAATATAAAACACGAGCATGTACACAGGCATGCATGCTCAAGTGTGTGAGCAGCAACAATTACAAAAGCGCGTATACAGAAACATCCAAAAACAAGAAATATATTACAAATCACACAAAAAACTACCTGAAGTTGTGGGCATGCACCTAATAATGTTTCCAGCGTCTGCAAGTGGTATTCATCCGGAAAAACTTGGATAATACAATCCATCAGATAATGTTGTGCCAATTCATCTTTGCAATTAACTACCTATTGAAAAAAGTTGCAATGCATCTGTATATTGTACCGTAACATCATAAGAATTTAGAATTCAACTATATTGAAAGGCACTGACTTGTTCTAGCACTCTTGGAAGCACGGTATCTTTGTACATATCAAGATCAATGCCGTCAATTTGGCTAAGAACATGGAGATTTTTCCCAACCTAGAAGATAAGAAAACAATCACAGTTTGAATCTCCAAAGTGAAAAAGATTGTGCAGTCTTCATAATGTATTAGAAAGTAATTTTACAAGATCTCGAAGTTCCCTCCTCTCTTTGTCCCGCCTCTCCTTTTCTCGAATAGGTCCCTGCAGGCCATAAATGCCCATTACACGCCTGAATTATATGCATCCTCAAATAATAACCAAAAATATGTGATGGCATAATGCTTCGGGAAACATATACCATATAAGAACTCAACATTAAAGGCATTAAATGCAGCCATGAAGAAACAGTGATGCACATACGATAATGCATACAATGCAAAAGCAATACAGAAACAAACCTGATGTTGCATTCGAACCCATAATTTATTCATTTCTGTGAAGTTCTGAAGCACGAACTCAACAGCGTCAATAAAACTGTCACCATCCCTAACCAAAGCAATTTCTGGAATGAGGTTCAGCAAAAAAAATATAGTTGGTTGATAGTATAATAAGTCAAAGTAGCCAGAAATATGCAGTTAAAAATAAATAACAAAATTATAAGTGACCACACATCCTCAGTAAAACAATAAAGCAAGTTTCCCTTCAAGTTCAAATATGCCTGATAAAGAATGCCTTATAGTCAAGGGTTTAGGTTTATATCATGAAATACACAAAATCTAACTCTCACACAGAATAATACTTTAAACAATTAAATGCCACATCAGAACATGACGCGAAATAAACAAAGTCCATGAAAACTATATTTCAACAGTCTAAGAAAAAATTTGCATAACAATTTAGAATTAAAAAAATATATTTTAATCAAAAATTCACTCTTTAAATGAAAATATGACACTAAATAGGACGCAACGGAAAAAAATGATTCATGTAGCCTACCCCACTTAGTGGGATAAAAGTTTTGTAGTTGTAGTTGTTGTTGTTGCTGTTGAAAATTCACTCTTTAATTGAAAAATCAAAATTGTCCATTTTGACAATATCCAGTCATGTAAAAAGGGTTGATAATGAGTCAAGTTCAAGCAGTTCGGTTAAACTCCAAAAAAAAAATAAAAATAAAAAATCCTACTTGGAATTAAAGTCATTTTGAATTAAGCTGGCTCAACTCAAGATGATTTTAATTTGAGTTGAGTCAAATTAAATTTTGGGTTAACTCAAAGTTTATTTTTAAGTAAATTTGTACAAGAATGTGTAGATTATACTATGCATTATCTTTATATTACAGCATATACATTATATATTATAAAAAATTCATTTTTAGTCATATTTCAAAACAACTCAAACTATTTTTGAGTGAGTCAACAAATTAAACACAAAGTTATTTTTAGTCCAGTACGGAACCGAAAATTGAGTCAAGTCAATTTTGAACTGAGTCAAAGGCAAAGCGAATTTCAAGCTTTCTAATAGCCCGTACAAAAACAAACCAATCAGTATATTAGATAACATAAAGCAAAAAAAATAATTCACCAAATAACAATTAAAACCTCACATCAATACAAAGGCATAACTTCCCCAAAAAAATTGCAATTCCAATTACGTCTTGGAATAAAAAAAAACAACCAAACAGCACTGAAGCAAAGAGGAAAATAATTCAAAACAAAGCAAAAATATCAATGGAATTTGTCTGCATAGGCTCTGACCTCTATTTCTAACCAAGAATATCCTCTATTTATTTAAAAAAACAAAAAACAATGAGATAGAATAAATGGCTCATAAAGAAGGGGTAAAATTCATTGAAATCCAACTTAATAGGAAAGTAAAGTAAAAAACTCGAGCAAAATACTGAAGCCAGAAGAAGTCCCTGAATCGCTAGCTGCAATTAATCATAGAAGATTTCAAATCTCAACTGAGAATATAAATAAAAAACAAATTAGGAGCAAATCATAGCCTTAAACTAAAGGCCTAAGTCACAATGCGAATTAAGGCCATAAACATTAACTAATCAAATGAGTTGACTCAATTCAAAAATCAAGTCAAAAGCTAAAAAGCTGAGTAGCAACCAGATAACCGTGCGTGTGCAGACCGTTTGGCTTAGTAGTTGTGTGCTTTGTCTCCAAACATAAAATCTTAGAGTTCAAAGCCTAGCACATGTGAATGCATATGTGAGCTAACACACACACACACAGAAAATTAAAATAAAATCAAACCAGCTGATTTCAAAGCTTAGATTGTCAATTTGTTCATTTCAATGCACCATCCAATGTTTCAATGTGCATAAAGTCTGAAACTTGGATAAAATCTACCCCACTCGAAAAATTGTGGTTCTAATGAATTGAGCCCTTGATATTCACCAATCAAATCTAGAAATAATTATAATGGTTCGTATGGAATAATCCATGAAACATTGTGCCTATCACGCCAGTGTATAAGAAACATTTGATGCCCGCCACCAATATTCGATACAAACTCATCTAATCAATTCTGATGAAAGACGCATATAGTTGTCTGAGAAACTGATGGAAGTGAATTGTAAAAGTATAGCTGAAAAGAGAAAAATACGAGACAGCCGTGGTTGGTCAACAATATAAAGTCAAAATAAATATATTGAAATTTCCAAGGTATAAGCATTTCACTATAATGCATTGGATGATTTTATGTTGCATTTCCTTTCAATCAACCAATTTCATGAAGGCTTATATAGGAAAGCTTATAACTGAAACAAACCATTTTCCTCTCACAAAGTTCAAATTTAACATATCCATATTCACATTAGCATTAGACTTGTATATAATCAGTAGCATTAACAATCAATTTTTCATGAAATCTTCATGCAAGTTATGCATATATTATGGAAAGCTGTGCAAATTCACTGTGAATAGACTCGTTTGGAAATTCACAAAGATATAACTTTTCTAGGCTGGAACCAAGTGAACGCATTCATGTGCATCTATTTTTAAATGAATTGGATATTATATCCATATGTAATTTCAAATCTCAACAAAAAGCATGTTTTTTAATCAGATATCATATCATATCATCCAAGGCTCATATTAACTTTCAAATTGCTAATCAGTTTGTGGGTGATCAACAATGAAAACTTTGAATTGTGTTCTTATATTTAATCATGGAATTTTCCATGGATCATTGATAGCTAGTTTTCCATAGTTCAAATATAAGAAATCCTAAGAAAATAGTGGATTGTGTGATAAAATATTACTTTAAAGATAACTTTCATTTTGTAATACTTCAAAGACTTTCTTAAGATATCCCAAATGATCATCATTAGGCTTGTTTTATATTTACATATAAAGAATACAATCAAAAAATTTTCAAAATACAATCTACTTTGTAATAATTATCGTTAATAAATAATAATAATAATAATAATAATAATTAAATTAATTAAAAAAATCTAATTACTTAAGTAGGTGTCATTCGAGTGGCACCCACCGCCCTCGAAAGCTTTAACAAGGGATTATCTCTCTCGTCCCTTCACTCCATGCGAGATAGAGAGTGAAAGATAACGAGAAACAGAGAAAGTGCAAGAGACAGCAAAAGCGGGAGCGAAAAAGGGTAAGTGAGCAGAGCCCATGCCCTAATCGAAGAAGAAAAAAGAATAAGAAAAAGGAGGACACGAGCGACTCTTTTGATTGTCGTGAGCAGCAAACAAAGGAAGGAGGCGAGCAATTTTCCCTAACATGGGGCTTCCTTCCATCAGGTGAACAGCAAGAGTCTCTCCCGCGTGTGATGGGCACTCTATAAGCTCCCATCCCTTACATTAACCAATCGAGAGTGAAGAAACGGGAGTCGGTGTGTCGTGTTATTTTCTTTCCACACCCGATAGACTCGAAATGAGCTTCTGAGTTTCCTTCGAGAGAAACTGAAGTCGTGAGCAGCTCCTCTCCATTCGGGCATGAATTCCTGCACTCAAAAGAAGCTCAAAGGAGCTCCTTAAGCTCCTCGCGCAAGAACAACAAACAAGAGCTTTGGGGCATGCATGAGAGAGCAAGTCGAGAGCTTAAAGCATCGAGCAAGTCGAGAGCTTAAAGCATCGTGCATAGAAATAAGGAAGAAAAAAAAAAAGAAAACATGAATTTTCGGCTTTAGGCATGAAATCTAAAATCCTATATTAAGATTTCTATTAAATTGCTTTCTATTTTACTAAATAAATTAATTCCTAATTAATTTTATTGAAACTTTACAAAACCCTAACATTTAATTTCTAGAATTATTTAATGTTTTGACAAGGGGATAAAATTAGTAAAGCATTTTGTTGTGGGAAAGAATTTCAGGTATGGAGTTCAATTTTAAGATTAATTGTAAGTTTTCGTTAAGAAATGTAATGTTAAATTAAAAATTTAACAATCCTAAGATTAAAAATCTAATTAAGTTACTCCTATTACATGCATGCTAAAAGAATTATAGGCAAGTCACTTAATCGAAACAATTAAAATTTAATTCATTTAATTGTACTATATTCTTAACCAGAATAATATATAATTCTATATAAAGTAATCAATAGTGAAGTAATTAATTAAAGTACAAATAAATGTACCTAATAATAATAATAATATAAAATAATAGCCAATTTAAAATTAATATTAAAAAAAGATTATAGAAAGAATAAAAGTTAATCAAAGTTGATGTGATATTATAGGCGAGTCAAACGACTAGTTACTTTTGAGGAACTACATACTGTGCAAGTGGGTAGATATATTTTTATTTTGCAACAGTTCTTTTTATTTATGGAAGCAATTGCAACAGTTTTTACTACTTAGTATTTTTTTTAATACAAAAATTTCAATTTTTTCAAATGTCATAAAAAAGGAAAAAAAATTATGATATATGAATGCATATTTAGAGTCACCCCCATACTGTATTGGCAAGAGAGACAATGTGCTCGTGCGCGTAAAATATAAATGGTTGCCTACCTTTTTGGTGAGTTTTGGAAAAAAAAAATTAAATGTATGCTTTCAGAATAAGTATAAACCCAAACTCATACTTACGGATATTGTAATTGAAATGAATAAAACAAACAAGAAAACTTATTTTCTTATTGTTTTATTATATTGCTTACAGTCTTTTTACTGCTTAATGTATCTTTACAAAATATTTTTAAAATAAAAACTATTGTAATGTAGAAACATTTTACCTACTGAATAGTTTAACTCACACATTTAGCTGCTAAAACTTTTAGAAAAACTTGCTATAGAATAGATGGATCCTAGAGAGTGTGTACAGACGTCGATGAGCTAAGGGTGATAGTATTACATTTTAATTTTTATTTTCTATTAGTTGTAAAAAATTCAAATCTATACGAGCTGCTTGTAAATTAAAATTTTATAAAATAGAATGACTGTTTTGTATTTTTGGATTTGATTTAACTATGAAATTTTTTTTGTATTCTTCCATCCAACCGTCCGTTCCTGCTTTGGTCATTTCAAACTCCCGGACCGGGTCATAACAGAAAATGATTCATAATCTTTTTAAAGATATTCATAATCTTTTTAAAGATAATCAGTGGATAAGTCAACCAAGAAGACGCATCCAACCATTCAAACAATCTATCTTATGCGTTAAAAATAGTTTTCTATCCATCTCCTTCACACATTCATAACTTGATATATACTCCTTTGATTACAATTAGAAAAGATAATAGTTTCAATCATATCCAACATATCATCCGCCCTAGGTGTGGCAAAATCAATAATTGCCAGTAATCACATTACATGCTTCATTGTCCATGCACCAGTGCTAATAACCACTTTCATGTGAGCAAATAATGCAAGAACGACCAAATGTCACATATTGTATCAAATAACCCCATCTTAAACCAAAACATCAACCTATCTTTCATGCATAGCATATTCATTTCAATTAATAGCACAATATAGCAAACTAGCTAATAATGATCCATAAATCAAATCACTAGTGTGTTGCATGCTTCTAAATGATAGTAATTTATCATGAATATCACCAAGACATAAGTCCTCGAAATCAAACACTACTCGACAAACATCATGCATAGTCACATTTTTTGGAAAGATCTTTAAATTTTATAGCCACCAAGAAAATATCAATCATTCTTTACAACTCACATTTGCAAAAGCATATTATTTCAAAATATGTAATTATTTCTTTTGTTCATAATTGTATAAGAATTTTTTGTACATAACATGGGTAATATTATGTTTAATAGAGTAAATAGACTTTAGGATTATCCTTCTCCCATCGATTTTGAACACCCATGCATTAGTCTTCTCGAAGTAGGTCACATCTAGCATATAAATATGATGTGTTGTATTAATAGGTCTATTACTAGTAAATCACACCAAATTTTATCATTATGTATAACAAATTGCATAATAATTTTGTAACACATAAATCATAGGTCTATTTACCCATTCTACCTTATATTTTTGTTGGTGTGGATTAAGTTTCAAATTCATGTGATCAATAATCAATTTAGCTAAAACATTCATACAAATTGCCTTCTTTAAGGATAAGCTTGCAAACTATTTCATCAAGCTTGAAATATACTTCTTTTCCAATTGGATTCAATTTCACATCCAATTTCAAAGTGTTTATCAATGAATCTTCAAATCACTCCTCTCTTCATCAAATTCAGGAGCATCATCCCCTCAACAATTTCATTGTAATTATTGTGAGCAGACATTATGTCAACAGAGAGGAAATTAAACTCATTATCTTCAAACAATACCTCACACGATAAATAAAAAAATAAGGAGGAATTAGAGATTTTTTATATCAAAAATCCTTAAAAAAAAAACACAAAGTAGAGCCCAATCCAACTCTACTAGATAAATCTTGCATTATAGTTCATTTTCCATCCCCAAATTTAAATGCATCAATGAAATATAAAGCTTCAAACTATGGAGAAAATCCCCCATTATGGTAAAAATAAGAAGTTCATATTATTGACAATCATTTGTCAAAAAGGAGAGAGTGACTTGACGACAAAAATCAATAGATGGCTAGAGGTTCCAACAAATGCTAAATGTGAAATTGAGCTTTAGGAAGTGACGACACAGATATTTTAAGAAGTCCATGTTTCGGAGGTCAAGGAAGAAAAATTTATAAACAGTAGTGTGAAGAATCCAAAAACACCAACTCAAAGAATTTAGAGAAATCAAGAATGTCAATTAAAGACTTAAAAAAGGTGGCAACACAAAGAGAAGAGAAGAACTCCAATGAAGAGCCAAGGATGGCAAGAATTAAGAATGATTGAACACACGGAGAATTCAAACATACTAGGGTGGAAAATCTTGAAATACCAAAAACAAGAAGCCAATAATACCATTTTAAAGAAGTTGGGTACATCATCAACTAGAAACTTCTCCAATCTTTAAAAATTTATACAAGCTCTAAAGTCCATAATAAGGAAAATAAGAATAGAGACTATTAATAGGTTCTTTATTCAAAAGTATACTAAAATATTTCTTACTCTTAGCAACAAACACATTAGATTGTGCTCTCCTTTGATAAACAAAACTAGACAGTCTTACCCCAAGTCCAGGCCAATCGACCCAACACAGCCAAGTAAACTTAAACAAGTAGTGGCAGCGGTCAAATGCTGGTGCAATGGTGCTAAAAACTAGCAGTCTTTCATCACATAGCATAGCAACAAACTCATGGCACAAACCCGATGGATTTGCCAAATCACAATTTCAATGATGGAATTGCCCATAACAAGTTTGGGAAAGTTTGAGGATCAAAATTTGGGCAAACAAAGAACAATAATTATAAACCATCATTTTTGTATATCTAAATTTAAGTCGACTCATGAGCTCGGCCTAAAGAGACCAAAGCTAATCCGAAAAGTTTACACAAAAGCTATAAAAGTATGTAGATATGGTTAAATTTTGGGTCAATTTAGTTTGTTATGAGAAAGGGACGGGAGGCTAGCCAGTCACAACAGCAAGTGGCAACAACTCCCTCCACGCGTCCCTAGATCACATGACAATGTTACTAAGCATAATAGATTTCTTTATATCATATTTGTTAATAGTGATGCTACTCTCCTTAAATGCTATAGATGCAATAGAGAGCTTGTTCAATGGGTGAATTACAGAGTGACTTAAAAAATGTCTTTAGTAGACTTAATAACTCTCTTAGTGATTGGGAATTTCAATATCCGCTTAAAATCAAAAGCAAGTTGGAAAACATTCCAAATGGAGTATGATTGAGTGATCTCTTTTCAAGACTTACTCCCAAATCTAAGCACAAAAAGTATTTTTAAGGGCCTTCAATGATTTAAGAGCATGGTAATAATTCATCAAGCGTATTCATAAATCAAAGATAATCTTTATTTCTGATTATAAAGCAATCAATACATCAATTTAGATTCACTCTTTCATTTTAATCTGAATAGTTCTAAATTCTCCACCAACCTTACCTTTAGTTTTTCAAACCCATCCTACAATTAAATTTTACCCAATCACCTATAGTTTAAAAAAATCATGCTTGGCATGCAACATATATTTTTTATCATTCAAAGAAATTATCCATACCCATTACCTAGATAAAAATGAGTTCAAGGCTTATTTTCCCATCAAATATAACACCATAATTTTGTTTTTCAAGGTTATTTTCTCAAATTCATAGAGTTGATGTTTTGACAACTATAAGCTTCATTATCAAACACCCTATACCATCTATTTGATAGTTTCTCACATGTTGAATTTTTGCCTGGTCATATTAACACGGTGATGGGTGATCATCATTTGCTTAGAATCAACTTCATGTTCATGCAAATGAAATTGAATAGTTTCCAAAGTTTCAATTTGCTCATTAAATCGATTTATATCACCATTTGATATAGCTTATTTAGCAATTTAGCAAATTGATTTTGCAAATTTATTTAAATATTATTCCTTCAACAATCTGCTCACAACCATAATCATGAGCCCTGCTTCTAGTTGACATTTCTACACAATTTGACTCTACTATCAACTCTGTCAGTTGTTACTGGATGTTGTTCTAATGCATATGATGATCCGAAAAAAAATGAAGAGGAATGCATCAGTCCAATTGACAGGTTGCATATTGCAATTGCGGTACTTATAAAGTTGTTGGAAGCTCTTCACGGGTATTATAAATATATCATAAGAAGTTACGGAACAAAAACAGAAAAAAAATAAGCAAAAATATGAAAGTCAAGTGAATCCATAGTTTCTTACCCCTCATACTCCGAACCAATGTCAGGCAACTTATCCCTACTGATTTGACAGAGATAACTCCTCAGAAAGAGCCCCCTAACAGGATGTTGTATACCTCGACACATTTCTACAAGGTCTTTAAGGATATCTTTTGCTGGAACTTCTTTTGATTTTATGCATACAGATCCCACTGTGCAGAGGAGATACCTGATAATCAACAATCTTAACTTCATATATATGAATGGGTAAAAAAAAAAATTGCAACAAAACTTGAACATGATAAGGCATAAATTCATAAGCGAACACTAAAATTACGTTAGAACTGAAAAATGAATACCAATGGAATAATGAATAATAAATGTAGGTATGAATTTATAGTAGGCAACAGAAACTTTGCATTTTTTTCCACAACAAACTATGGCAGCTTCAACAACAAAATTAGACTGCCATTTTGATTTCATAGATTTATAGCATTTAAGAAAAGCAATCTAAAATAACCAGTCTCTTAAAAAGCTAGTGAAAAGAAAACATTGAGCGGAATCTGATAGTAAACCATTTATAAAGCTGCTAAATCATTGATGAGTTCATCTCATTAAGCAAATAGTTCCACACAAAAAGATAAGCATAAAAATGATCTTACAGCCTAGGAAGAATGTTCCCAGCATGTTGCACAAGCTCGTACAGATCAATCACAGAGCATCCCCTCCTGGTCTCCTCCTTAAAGAACATCTCCAGCTTCCTCAGTTCATCGAACCCCCTCATATCTTCAAAGCAAGACAATTCTCAGCAATAGTGAAAATTAAAAAAATTTGAAGAAAAAGAAGCATGAAACACAAGGGTTTGAGACATAGCAAAAGAACTTGGGTCACGCACAGAGCTCGTAGTACTTGTGGGGGGAAAGCCTGGAGGTGCGCAGCTCGGATAGCATTTGGGCCGAGTACTTTAGAGCGTCCCGCAGATTGTTCGAATCCTTGAAACAAAACAAAGATAGGAAACAATAAGCAACGCAGGAAGGTAAAAAAAGGGTATAATTGCGATCTATTGGGGTTAGGGTTTGAGAGGGCGCGGACGAGAGCACGGTGCATGTAGAAAGCGTTGTGCTGGAGGCCGGCGATCCCCTCGGCCAGCCATTTGTCCTCATCTTCGCCGCCGGCGTCCGGCAGCATCTTCGGCGGATCGCCGGATAACGCCGCCTGATCTAGCTTTGGTCTTCTTCCTCCTAACCCTTCGGCTATTCCAAGCAGTGAGATTTTGGAGCTCTTTCCCAATCGTCGACAAATTGGAAGAGATATTCAATTCCCTCCACCTTGAATGCGAAGACGATTGGAAAAATTTTTGCAGCAAAGAGAATGGAACGCGCGAGATGGAAATTGGTGTCGAAAGAAAACTGAAGTGTAATTCCCAAAAAAAATCTTCAAAAAGATGAAAAAATATTGCAACAGTACTACGCACTCAAAAATATCGTGCGTAGCCAATAAAATCATGCCACGCGCGATAGGAGAAAAAAATAGCGCAGTAACACGGGGAATGGAATATTCCTCCCCATTCATGTGTTATTGCGTGTTATTCATGTGTTATTGTGTGTTATTCATGTGTTATTGATGTGTTATTGTGTTATTATAACACCAAGAATATTCCTAGAACACAATAACACATGAATAATACACAATAACACATGAATAACACGAAGGGGAATATTCCCCGTGTTACTGCGCCGTTTTTTTCTCTGTCGCGCAGGGTGTCGTGGCGTTATTTTATTGGCTACGCATGTTACTCTGGGTGCGTAGTACTGATGTAATATTTTTTCCAAAAAGATATATTTACACTTTCAGCACATGCTTACAGTTAATTAAATATTAATATTTATGATGGATGCTAGAAATATTTAATGAATTATCATTTTAACATTACTCGCATTAATAACTACTAAAAACACTATATTTTTATGTGAAAAAAAACCGTAAATGAAAAAATGATGGGGCTTGACAGGACTGAAGTATATGTTATGAACTAAATTATAAGTGTAATATGTTATCTTACATATGAGAAAGGGTTACACAATATTTTGAGTTGTAAAGTTGGTGCGTGAATAATCTTGGGTAAGAGATGAGAGGCGGTCGATGATGATCATTGAGGGTCGGTGAGTAATGGTCGGCGACGGAGCGATAGAGCGACGAAGTGTTGTTGGACTTCAGCTCCTTATCAAAGTTTCAAACTTTCTCTTCAATCTTCAAACTCTCTTTATCTTCATGAGATGTGTGATACTCTATTTATAGAGTCACAATTATAATTAATGAATGAATATGAACCACTCTGATCAAACGACCCGGAAAAGCTTCATCGATTGAACGACGTTTGATTTACATTTGAGTATCTTATTGATGTCAGAATTAAGTGATCATAGACTTGTTATATCCGTCTCGTTGGGACACTCAATTTGACAAATGTTCTTTAGATTCTGCATTTGTAAAAAACTTTCGTGGTTTAATGATTTTTAATGATTTGATCTGAGCTTGATTTGACTAAGATTAGACTAATTTTGTTATTATTGAGTCCGCTTTGTCGAGCTGGTCAGTTTTGATTATAAGTTTGTTAAAATTGGACTTTTGGATGACTCTTAATCAAAAACTTTTAGCATTTCTTACTTCAAATATTATCTCGAGATTCACTCAGAATGATGAAAATTTATTATAGCGTATCAATTTATATTATAAATTTATATTTATAATTTTAATGCCAAAAAAATATTCATAAAAATATGTTAAAATATTAAAAAGAATTATTATAATAATTAAATATAATATTACATATTTGAATTTTATGCATATGAATATAAAGTTTTAGAAGTTAGACATGTAAAGGTATAAAAATATTGTAGTACACAGAAAAAACAAATAAATTTCTTTAGAGGGATGAGGTGAGCAAGAGCCCCGCCACCCACACCACGAGCAACATAAGTGTAAAGTATATTGATATCTTTTAAAATGGTTGATTGTTTGAGAACAATTTGTGTTATGCTAGCTAAGTATCTTGTTTTCAATTCATTTGCCCTTTTTTTTTTATTTATTTATTATTATTTTTTTTTTGCTTGATATATAAACTAGTAGAGCATAAATTTATTTGTATTTGTCTCTTTTTTTACTATATATATATATATATATATATTGATGCGTGCTAGAAAACTAACGGCGATAGACTAACAAACTATCGTCTTAGCGCTATAGAAAATCCGTTAGGGAAAAACCACAGGGTCTGACCCAATTACGAAAATTCACTATTAATTAAGGATTACAGAAATTCATTATCTCACACACGTTAAAAGGTAACTATATTTTTTTTAGATTACAATGTCGGCTGACAGCGTCTGGTTGGTTGTGATTGATGACGGTAGGTGGAGTTTGACGACGGTCGGCGAGGGTAATGACGGGCGGCAGTGGTAGACGACGGTCGACGGTGGTCGTCTGAGGTTGGCGGTGGTTGTCGGCAATTGGCGGCGGGCGACGACGGAGGTCGGCGGCTGTCAAGTGCGGTCGGCGGGGGGAGGTCGGCGGTCGTTGACGATAATCAGCGGTGATGTTGAGCTGCAATTTCTCCTTAAGATCTAAGGTTCTCTCTAGATTTCCCCTCCCTGATGAGAGGGATGAGGCTCTAGTTATAGTGTTATGGGTGCAATTAATGCAGGAATATAAACCATTTTGATCGGACGGTCCGAGAGCATACCTCGATCATACGACGTTTAATAGACAATTGAGTACCTTAATGATGTCAGAATTGAGTGATCTTGGGCTCGTTAAATTCGTCTTGTCGAACCGCTCAATTTGAGAATAAATTTGTTATATTTGATAGTCGTTTGACTTTCCAAATGTATTCATAAATCTTCTAATTTTGGCTTAATGAATTGATATGGGCTTGATTTGACTTGGATTTGGCTAGTTTTCATATCATTATGTCAGTCTCATTGAACATGTCGGTTTGACTATAAGCTTACTGAAATCAGAACTCTGGATGACTTTTTATCATGATTTGAATATTTTTTGCTTAAAATATTATATCGAGATTTGTGTTCGATGATGAAAATTTATTGGCGATGTATCACATATATATAGATATATATATATATATGTATATATATA